AATTCTAAAATTAGCTTCATAAAAAGTGTCTCAGTATTAGGCAGAACACACATGTCAGAAAGTGAAGGTTGGTGGAGTAGATCGTTTTCTGATCCACACACTCTATATATCTGTGTGTGGATATTTTAGTAGCTGTGTGAATCCTAGAGACAGTAGCCCAGCCAGATGTGATCAAGGTTTCGCTTTGCAACTCGTCTTATTTAAAAGGCCTTCCATTTGAATTCCTGCTCGCATTCACACTTTGTCACCTATAAAGTGGGAACGAGTGGTGAATGCCAGCAATGTGTAACCAGAGAAGAAGCTAGCCACCCCAGCTATGCACCAAATGTTGCTGTGTTATTGATCCGATAATCAGATTATGTGCTAAAGTATGCCAGTCTGGGCCACTGTCACAATTTAGCGGCTGTTATGTGTGACCCCCCACTAGAGAGCAGCCAACTATGTGATTGGCTCTAAGCTGAGGAAACATGCAGAGTAATGAAATTAGAAGAGTTTACTAGGGATAGCGTTCCTCTCGGTTTCCCATGCCAGGCATCTTACTGCTTTTCACACTAGTATTGTCACTGAGCCTGAGGGTTTCCTTTTCACACCAGATCCTCCAGGATCTACTCCATAGATAGTATGCACCCACAGCTATTGTCACATTATATTACTTAGATGTCAATAAACTCTACATAGCATTGGTGATTGCCATGTATAACCATCATAGAGGAATGTGGAGAAAACTTTTAGAAAAAATTCAGTCATTATGGATGACCAGTACAGTAATGAATTAACTGATTCAGCTTGTTACATTTTCAGAAGCAGCATAAAAAGTCCTGTAGAACAATTGTATTACTCACATACAATTAAATGTGTGGGAGCTGTTTACCTATGAACAGAAACACTGTGCAAGCAAAGCCTAAGGAAATGTTGCCCTCTCCTGGTGTGTTGCTAACACTGCAAATGCCAGAAGAAGAAAAAAAAACATCGACATATATGGAGTTTTTAACCCCTGAATCTGCCCTACAAAGGTTGAGAGCAGTATCCGTGGAAAAGGTGAGATTGAAAAAAATGGTTTAAAATGTTCAGGCTGTCTGGCAAACTGCATAGGAGATAGATATTTTATGCCTTTTATGGTTCCAATTTCCACAGAACATACATAATACCTACAATATTTACATTGCACTCTGCTTTTGGATAATCTGTCCGTCTAAAGTCTGTTTAGGAAAGTAAACCTTATTTTACAGTTGACTTGTTTAACTGACTGCACAACTGCACATTTCATTGAGAAAAGAATCATCAGAGTAATCGATAATGAAAATAATCATTAGTTGCAGTCCTAATTTGCAGCTTAACGGGCTAAATGCATCTCTTTTGCAATGTATGTCAGTCTGATATTAATATTCACAATTAAATTGATTGACAAATTGATTAATTTTCAATTTCATACATTTACACAGTTACTTTATTTGTTAGAAGTTAAACTGAAATGGCAGTGACTAAGATCTCCTGAGCTATTTAAGCTTACCAGAAAAAGTTTATCCATCATGATTCAGGATTTACTAACTGATTTAGTTACGTGGAATAATAAACTAAATCATCAATATGCCAATTCATCAAAATAGAAATTGTTCATTTACAAATAACAGCTGGGGAAAAATATTAAGCAAAAAGTAGACTACATTTAGTTATAGCTTCAGCTTATATAATTAATTAATAGTCATTTTAAAGAATAATGATTTTATAGTAAAACAGATGTCAGAAAATCTAATTCTTTTCTGAATTTTGACCACTTAGTTACTGCCTTTTGCCTTTATGGCAGTATAGTCAGTATCATTAGACCCTATCAGAGCTATAAGTAAAGTATTAGAAATGCTGAGCAGACACGTGTGACTGCCTCGCAGTTGCGGACAGAAGGCAACATTTGGAAATTTTACAACTTAATTATAATTACGAATGCAATGTGTTTATTTGATTTTGACCAAAAGTGTTTTTTGGAAAAAACCCTTTATGGTCCCCATGTACAGTACCTGGGTTAACTTAAAGGGAAGTCAGTATAATCATGCCCCAACATTAACAAGCATTTTCCTGAGAACAGCTGATTCACTGAGGTTACTCAATACATGATGTTCATTCATTGAGTAACCTTTTACAGTAAGACAAAAGTTGACCCACATTTACCATCAGAGGCAGTGGGTCATATGACCGGTCATCGACGAAAGACATCACACAGGAGGTGGATTCACATTCAGAATTTGTCATATCATCATAATAATGAGTCTAAACAAAACAAATCAAGAACCACTTCTACAAATATCAAATTCTTACATTTACATTTGCCTTTATTGATCATATAATTTAGTCAATGTTGAAATCCTAAACTGTTTATTATTATTCCATCTTCACTAAATGCTGTGTAATCTACTCTAATCTTTTTACAACCTGACACTCAACCTTTTTACTGACTGTACAAGGCAGTACACCATGTCTCGCTTTACTTGCTTTAATTTCACATGCAAAGGAGTGCCTTGCATTTCCGATAGCTAATGTGTAATTTCCAGAGCTATAACAAGTGACTGTCATCACTATCGTGTAAAATGAAGGACACAAATAAACACAATGACATGCAACCAAAATATGTGGTACACAATGTGGAAGTGGTAGTGAAAATTACAGAAACCGATTATACTGTGCAGTTAGTTTCTGTTTTGCCTTTTGCAGCTTGTCTGGCCCTTCACACACACAAATACACTAATGTACTCATACTCTGTATATTAAAAACATATTTTACTGCAAGCTCTTTCTCAAGGCCATGCACACGGCACACACAAACCTTGATCTATGAACTTTGGAAGTTTTCCTATTGTATTTGTGTTGTGCTGACTCATGAAACAATCCTGTCACTTGACTGTTCTTGTAAATGGTTTATAGTACACAAGGTACATCACAAACTTTTTTGCTTATAAGGTGCACTTGACTCCTTAGTTTCATGATAAAACCCACTATTAACAACATGTATGACAAATAGTCATACTATAGGCTAGCATTTGTCAACCTTTTTCCTCACTATCTGTGTTCACAAAATCCCAGTTATGGCACACACTTATATTGGTTTAAAATAATTAAGAATACAACTTCAGTATAAAACTTGTGAACTTAGAGGTAGCTGACAAGCATGCAAAGAGCTGCTGGTCAACTGCAGTAATAGAAAGTAACTACACAGTACTGTACAATTTTGAGGTACTTTTATTTCATATATATCTATTTTATACTACTTAAGAGCTATAGTTACTAGTTACTTTTCTGATTAAGAGCAAGATAGCTTAGAGCCAAGAAAAGGAAAATAAAAATTATGCAACTGTCTAGTTGTAGATAAACTCGTTCCACTTTGAGCAGCCACAACAGTTAAATTATATTTATACTGCAACTACACCGCTGTGACACTAAATCCTACACACTGGTCCTTTAAGTTGGATTTTGAATGCACTTACTTTTACCTGCAATTAAATATTTTTATAGTAGTAGTATAGTATACAGTAATTTTAAATCATGGTATTAAGTAAAGGATTTGAGTACTTCCACCACTGGTCAACTGTTCAGCTGTTTGCTGTTTTCCATTATGTGCCAGTGCTATTAGCATATAAACTATATGCACTGTTTTTTAAGAAAGGAATCCAAGTGTGCTTACAAACCCTACTGACTACACACCCTGTGTATCTGTGAAACTACGTACGAACAGGCAGAAATTTGACACAAGCTGATAGAGTTCAATGACAGACCGTAAACTTTTAGCTTAGCTCTCAGTTTTTCTTCACTTCGACAACTTCTTTATGGTTTTAAGTATTGTCGTGACACGAAAGCCTTGTGACCGACAGTCAGACAAACAAAGACAGCAGGCAAGCAGGAGGGTGGGGCAGAAGGACAGTCATACAACAGTTAAAACATCGGTAACTGCAGTAAACTTCCGTGGAAAAATTTGTATGAACATATTGTAATATGCAAAACGCGTTTAGAAGACCAAGAACTCACACTTTGGTTGCCATCAGAGTAAAACAAAAAAATCTATTTCCTCACTGGTTTCTGCTTTTTACGTGCTATTCAGTCTCCTTTTGTGTATTTGATTTTTAAATAATATTTGGGCTTCCCGACAATGACTGTAAAACTTGCAGAACAAACGTTAGTTGAAAACAGGATGTGTGTATGGAAACAGACAGGAAACAACTGTCAATGGAAACACTCATGAATCATAAATAGTAGAGAAGAGTTTAATTAATCAGAATGGTTGTGTTCATAAAATTTCAAAATCTAAAAAAAACTTTCAGTTTGAGCCAAACAGTATATTTGTGGGAATGTGTGTATTTTGATAAGGTTAGTTCAATTTGTTTCTGTCTCAAATAAATAAGGAGGGAATACAGACTTCAGTCCAGTTTTTGAAAAATGGAAAGACACTTCAAATAAAACCAGATTGTTCATGTAAACCGCTCAAACAAACTTTCAGGTAAGTGCCACCTACATATCCGAGAAATAAGAACGCCTTCATTTGCTACCTGCACATTTTCCAAGGAGGCACAATTTAGTTGGAAAGATTTAAACTAAAACAGGTGGGTGGCAACGACATTAGCACACATATGTTTTTGTATCTGTTTTATGTTGTTTGTTTTTTTGCGAGGAATCCCCATATGACTGAAATCAGAAAATACAGAGGAAAATACAAAATCTCACACAACCTCACATGAAGCATCACGTTATCACACAGACAGACCATTTCTTCTACATGTGACTGTACAATTCCTAACCAAAAAACTGCTGAGTAAATGCTCATAGTCCTTATAGAAAATTATTATCACCTTGCTGTTCCTTATTTTGCTGAGGTTTAAAAATATGTTTCCCAAAAGAATGGCATGATGCAAACTTCTCATAATGCACAACTCCCCCATTCCCCATTTAAATGATTGACTCTTTCTCTCTGACTTTATGAGCTGCTGACAGCCACCTGACTGGACACACTGTAAGCCATAACTGTAGTCAGCTATATAAGAAGGTTTCTCTGGCAGAGCCCTGCATCACTTACAGGTTGTTATATCTCAAACCTCATCGCACATACCGACATAGAGGCAGGTAAGCAGCTACAATGCTAGACACACACAAACCAACAGAGAGGCGCACACACACTTCCTGTACTGCAGGTGCATTGATGCAAAGGAGAACAGAGACTCATAGATGAGAAAGACATTGAGGGAGAGAATGATTCAAAGAAACTGAGAAATAGAGCTGATACAGTGGTAGCGTGCATGTGACATCTGACGTCATGACAGAAAATGTTTGTGAAGCAAAGATGAAGTGAAACAGTTCAGTCTCAACCTATTCGGTTTCCTGCAAGTCACAAGGGATCTCTTTGCTTTTTCTGCTTGTGTTGTGGAGTTAGGATGAAGCTGCTGCTGGTCGTTGCTGCTGTTCTGGCCGTGGCCAGCTGTGCCAGTATCTCTCTGGAAGACCTGGAGTTCCATGCGTGGAAACTCAAGTTTGGTGAGTTTTATCAGACTGGTTTCTTTTATTGTGATCCATTGTCAAATACAGTAGATTTTGTTTAGTTTCCTATGAATATACTGTCTGTGAAGCCTGAATTTGGATTGTGCTCATTCACATACAACACACACCTAAAGATCTAAAGTAAAGGGATTTGTAATCTGCCTAAAATCTTTAGGAGTACTGTACATTTAATTTTTCAGTCAGTAAAGGGAAATCTTCTCTCTTCTTCTGATGGCAGGAAGGTTCTACAGCTCTCCATCAGAGGAGGCACACCGCAGGCAAATCTGGATCAACAACCGCAAACTGGTGCTGGTGCACAACATCATGGCCGATGAAGGCATCAAGTCCTACCGCCTTGGCATGACCTACTTTGCTGACATGGTATACACAGGAAAATAGAAATGTGGTTGTTTCTGCCATCATAGCTCTTAACTTTTACCATTTGTGACTAACTGTCAACAGTGTAATTTGATCAGATTGTAATGATGAATGAACTTTTGAATGAAGACCCTCTTTATTGACACTGACTTTTGTTTCTCTTCACCAGGAAAATGAAGAGTACAAACGCCTGATTTCCCAGGGCTGCCTGGGCTCCTTCAATGCCTCCCAACCTCGCCGTGGCTCTACTTTCTTCCGGTTGCCTGAGGGCACCGATCTGCCCAACAGTGTTGACTGGAGGGACAAAGGATACGTCACTGATGTCAAGGATCAGAAGGAGTGCGGCTCCTGCTGGGCCTTCAGCACAGTATGTACAACTTGGTGTCTTCTCTTTCAGTAATGCAGGAAACTTTACACAACTGTTTTCTGGTTTCAAATTAATTTATGTCTCTTTTAGACTGGCTCGCTGGAGGGTCAGAACTTCAAGAAGACAGGGAAGCTGGTGTCTCTGAGCGAGCAGCAGCTGGTTGACTGCTCCGGCGACTATGGCAACATGGGTTGTATGGGAGGCCTAATGGACAACGCTTTTCAGTACATCCAAGCCAACGGAGGGATAGACACAGAGGACTCCTACCCTTATGAAGCTGAGGTAAAGAGAAAGCAGTTTGGTTAAAAATTGAATAATCTTTAAACGTTCAGCATTCAGTGTCAGACAACCATCTGTCATTATCATGCTAATGAAACAGAGGTGGATTTACAAATAATTTAATTCACAGTTTTAAAAATCGTTGCCCTCCATGTAAGAGGTGTCCAATACTGCCATCTTGTGGACAAAATGTATACTGGCTTCAAACCCTGAAACAGAGTGGCAGTGACTTATGTTTTCTGATGTACACTTGATCGCTACTTTAATAATGTGTCAGTATAGAAATAAATTGTGGTTAATTGGGGATATTTTCTCTCACTTAGGATGGTCAGTGCCGTTACAACCCTGACTCTATTGGTGCCAAATGCACAGGCTATGTTGATGTGAAACAAGGTGATGAAGATGCCCTGCAGGAGGCTGTGGCAACCATCGGACCTGTGTCTGTGGCCATTGATGCTTCTCATGCATCCTTCCAGCTCTATGAATCAGGTGAACACACTGTGTTGCTTCTGCCAGAAAATATTCTTATCAAATGCAAGAAAAAATAGGAAATACTTTTTTAATCCAACTATTTTTTTCTAACCTGTTTTTTGTGTGTGTTATTGTGCTAGGAGTGTATGATGAGCCAGAGTGCAGCAGCACAGAGTTGGACCACGGTGTACTGGCTGTGGGCTACGGCAGTGATAATGGACGTGACTTCTGGCTGGTTAAAAACAGGTAAACACCCAGATCTGTTGCTCATATTTTAAATTATGGGCTGCTCGCCTGCTATATAGTGTTATAGTGGAGACAGAAAGCTAAGTTGCAGTTTTCACAGACGGCAGCAGTAAGGCGTCTTATTTATAGCTGCCAGGATGAAGTGAAACTCACACAGGATGTTACTTTCTTAATACTATTACCATTATTTAACTTGATCATTATGCTGTTGTATTGTGATAAGGATTCTGTTTTACATATAGCAGCTGAACATTGTTGGTAATTTGTGTATTTCTGTAGCTGGGGTCTAAGTTGGGGAGACAAGGGATACATCAAGATGACCAGGAACAAACACAACCAGTGTGGTATTGCTACTGCATCCAGCTATCCCCTGGTCTAAGCAGGTAAGATGAGAGTGTTAAACTTCTGGTTGTCTGCACATAATGTACTTGAAAGAATGTGTGTGCACTCTGCAATTTAATGTCCATTAACTGGTTGTTGTTCATGTTTATTGGATTTTCAGGTCCAGCACTTTCCTCAGTGAGGAGGAGAACAGATAATTTACTTTAATTTCATAAAGAAACTGAGTTATGGAGCAAAATGTCCTTTTGTTGTTCTTCAGAAGTGAATAAGGTACAGAGTCTGTCTGGCACACTTTTAATAAAATAACTTTTTTTTTTTAATGAATATTGTAAATAAATGTAAAAAAACACTGAGAGATACAAATAAACATTTATGTGTTTGTGATTTTGTTGCTTTTCATTCATATTAGTGGGACTCTGCTGATGTGCTGTGACTTATCAACAGTATTACTTGTACTTGTTACATGGATGTTGGACAATCACTTTTTATTCTATTAGCTTAGGTTTGCTCTAATAATTACAGTTGTTAATTTGGCATGAGAGTATGGCACCTTATTTTCAAGGGTTTACATGGATATACAAATTAATTAGTTAATTAATTAATTAAGTAAAGATGTATTTAATATTTGTTGCTTTAGACACTCTTTCAAGTGTTTAAAATCAATTGTATTTATTTGTATACGTTTATTAAAAACATATTGAGCAAACTTACATCAAGCAACCCACAATGGGTACACATAGTACACGAAACTCTGCAGTAGCAGTGGCTTGTTTCTACAAGAGGATCCAAATATACAGGATAAGTCTCAAACAACAAAGTAAGTCAAGTCAAAGGACAAAATAAACTGTGACAAAACTAACCTGTTGACTTTATCACTTTATAAAAATGACCAATGATGAATATGCGCTCACATCTAACTATATAAATGACTGGCTCAAAATTCCCAGTGTGCATGAAGCAGCTTCAGTGTTTGCCCTCAGTCAAGGCCTATGTATTTAACAATACACTGTGCTCTGTGCAGACTACATAAAAAGGGCTTTTAAGATTATAAATATACTTGCTTTAGTCAAGATGGCTAAGAACTTTGCTTGAAGACAAGTTGAACATTTCCAGATAACATATTTCTGAAGGCAGATTTCATCCTAATATCTTTGGGCTTTTGTCATATCTGGATTCATTGTTTTGACTGACATAAATTATTCACAAAAAACAATTGTGTTTGTTGTTCAAAAAGTCTGATGTTGTCTCAGATGTTGCCTCTGATACTGACTGCTGCTGTGGCCCTTGGATTGCAAAGTTCGGGCCAAAGATAAAAGCTGTGGGCAGGGGGTTTTAGAAGTGGAAAATTCATTTTGGTAAAGGAATATCTCCTCTTTGGTCTTTTCCGCTGTCTTTGTACTTTATGTTCGCTTGGATAGCATTTTCTTGCTATATTTTCCCGGATACAGTGGTACTTTCTTTAGCATTCTGTGGTTTGTAAAAGGTTATCTCAGATTCACTCTTCATATGCAGCTAGGGATGCTGCCACAGAAAAGGGGGAGGTAAAAGTGAAAGCAGATCTGGCAGACAAATGTGAACATATAGTGAAACACAACGAGATCAAATTATAAACTTTTGTGGTTGAATGTCTTGTCTGATGTGGTAAAAAAAAAAAGCTATTACGGATTGTAGAAAAAAATCTCAGCGGTATGTATTTTGACCTCTATTACTGTCAATATATTTTACAGACTCCCTTTTGCTTTCAAGATCATCCTCCTCTCCTGTCACTTCCTCCCATCTTGACACTTGATCCATCCAATATAAACTGCGATTATGAGGAGAAAGGAAAAGGAGAAATAAATGAAATGTATTTTTTATCCTCATCTTTCAAACAACTGATGGAATGCTAAAATGTTGTATCATTTACCTCGTGATTCTGGAGCGTGGGAATAAGCAGTTTCCAGAACACAAAATGCTCATAGAAATGAGTCAGATAATTGAAAACAGCCACATTTTCTTTTGCGGTAAGGCCGTGGGTGCAGCCATCACAACACAGCACAGGGTGACTAAAAACACTGGTATTATCAAGTCCACTCACTCTCACATTTTAACTTAATATGAGACAAATATCCTCAATGCTTAACATTTATTTGACCTTTTTTTCTAATTCATGTTCATGTCCAGTTGCAGTTACACAAGCTTTAGTTAATTTTGCATGTCTAGTTTAGAGGGTTTTTTTGTTTTGTTCTGCTGATCCATAGTTAATATTAGGTTTATATTAGGTTAGGTTAGCAAACTATCTGTCTATTGTGTATTAGTTATTTTAGTCATTGACCAGCCAATATAAACATTTATGTTCCTCTCTGTGCCACTTAGTTTCTCATTTCAGTCTCATAGCAGTTCAGTTTGTTGTATTTTGCATTCAGTCCTATTTTGTTGACATCTTTTAATACCTATTTCATATTTTATTTAACTTTTTTGAAATCTAAAACCTGCACTCTTACTTCTCTGCTTGGCCCCTAACGTGTATTCAATTAAAGGTTTTCTTAGAGAGGAGGATTTCATTAATCTTGCTTCCCTGTTTTTATATTGTTTAGTTAATATTACATTATAACTTTGCCCTTTTCTCCACTGCTTTGCATTCACTCACACCAGACACAGTATAGTGTCTAAGATGTATAACATCCTTGTGACCTTTTTCATGATACCAATTAACTGCACCCATCAAGGTCAAGTTGGTTCCCTGACATTGTTTCCAGGGTAACATGAACCAACTCTGGTTCAATACCCACACTGTATATGTGCAGTAATACACACATATGTAAGTAATACCATGATGCAATTTAGCCTTCTTTCAACAGTAATTTGTAATGCTTAAGGGTTTTGCATGTAATCCAACTAAACAGCAGTACATAAGCCATTATTCTTACATCTCTATTGAACCTGTGGCAGGTTGCTTCACTCATCTGTAATCCATGAAGTCGGCTATAAATAAATTTACAATGCTTGAAATTGTTTTGTTAATTTGTCATGGGCTATTTAACCTAACTGCATTTAATTTTACTGCACGCAATGAGGCTGAAAAAAGATCAGTACACCAGTTTGATTTTGCTTGGTCGCAAAACACAGTAACAGATGATGCTGCATTCTTGATCTGGCTTTAGATATTTTCTAATTTGCTGAAAAAAAACAACTTTGACTTTGCTAACAAAAGTCATCGGTCAGAAAATGATTGTTCTCCTCTACCCACAAGGTAGATGACATCTGTTTTAATTATGCACAATAGTTGCCCCAATTTAATTTATGAAATCACATTAAGTGCTTGTAATTTTCCCCATTCTAAATGTCACATTAGGTCTGGTTGTGATAACATTTGAGGCAGGCATACGGGGGGGGGGGGCATATTAGGAATTTAATCAGCTCGTGTGACAAAATGTGACCTTGACATCTTACTTTTTCCTCCCTCAGCTGAAGCAGCAGCAGCGAGAGATACCGTGTGGAGGCAAACACGTAATTGAAAGAGAGATTTATATTATCTTTTGTCAGGCGAGTCTCGTAACAGTAGACCTGAAGAAAAAAAAAACATCTCTGCCATTTCATCAGCTCCGCAGTATGACAGTATTCAGCCAATTAGGCCTGAATGATTGTTATCCAGTGACGTTATCATCATCATCCCTTTTATTTTTAGGAGTATGAAGGAGGGCATTAGAAACTGGAAAAAGCAAAGATGAAAAAGCTTCCAGACAGAGACAAAGGGAAACAGAAGGAGGGCGCGTAAGAGGTGAGGGAAATTAATTGGTTTTGCTAAATCCTCCTCAAACAGCAGAAGCCAATGTGGTTCCACAAAAGGCCATTACCGGTAATCAATTTAAATCTGTTTTACCCTTCCCAAGGAAACCAATTAGGCAATTTAATTTGGCTTTTTTGATTCACAGCATAACCACGGCACAGGATAGGACGTCCAATTCGCATCCTGCAGAGAGGGACAAGTGAAAACATTGGGAGGTGTTGCTGGAACAAACAAAGCTATTGATCTAAGGGAGGCTGAGAGATCCAGGGAAGGATGATAAAGAAAGGATGATAAATTCATGAATTTGCACTGTGGTAAGAAAAAAAATAAACAGTGATCCTGCTGTGTCCATTTAAAACTGCCTCAATAATTAAAGTTTATTGCAAGTTCAGCCTTTAGCTGACTCCAGGCATTTAAATTCCGTTTTCCAGTAAATGTGACTCCACATTTAAAGCAGTTGATCATTTTTGGCTGTATTTTTGTGTTAGAAGAAGCTCTTTTGTAAGGTCACTAGATGGCAGTACTTGACTGCTGATGATTATCTCAGCAGTTTGAGGCACTGTGGCCTGGCAGGAGTCATGCAAAGCTCTGGTTCAAAGTAAAACATATTCCTTTGATTCTTACAGTCACATGTCCTTAGAATGCACATATAACACACATATAGTACAGACATTCATATATCCACACATACACACTAAGACTGCATTTCCTTGCACCAGTGAACCCATTACACTCTAACAATGCACATGCCACACACTGAGTGTCTGCTTAATCAACAATGTCACCACACAATTTCAGTAGATTGGCTGTTGGGTTGGTATGGAGGAAAGTGTCAGTCAGCCATGTCACCCATCATAGCGAACAAACAGTCTCTCCTATGGGGATACAGATGGGGGCCACGTTTCTGCGCCCATGCGTTATCCATCTTCCATCGTGCCTTTCTGTGTGCGTGCATGTGTGCAGCGCCTTGCATGTGTGGTGTGTCCACGTGTGTGTGGGGAAATGGGATGTCAACTGGTTTGTCATGGTAATGGGGAACATGTGTGATTGTGACAGACAGGAGTTCTGGATGACCGCACACAGTAGTGGTGCACTTGCACACACACCCGTGCACGTTGGTCTAATGCAGACAGAAAGCATGGAGGCTGAGCAAGAGCAGAACTGTATGTTCTAAAATATCTTAAATGAATAATAATCCATACTCGTCCTCTTGCTCTTTTTAATCTCTACTTTCTTATCTTTATCCCTTTTTTCTTTTCCTGGTTTCTTCCCTCCATCCTCCTCCAGCCAGCTGTGTTTTTTGGACAGGGCTCCTGGCTGTGGTCTGAGCGAGGCGAGAGAAGCTAACCGTTTGAGAAAAACAGCTCTGGCAAGGCCAATTACACCCAGACAAAGCACTTTGCATGTTATTGTGTTAGGGATTCATGCTTGATTGACTGAATGGGTTCTAATGAGGCTGGGGAACGACATGCAGAAAAGGAAGAAACACTCCTCCATTTCCCTGATGGATTGATTCACCCGTGCCCTCACGTAGACATGCCGGTACAAATGCACTCGCTGGTGCACAGTTACAGTGCAAAGGTGTGCAATCACTTTGGCCTGCACATGGG